TAGAATTGTTTAGGTCTAGAAATGTGTCATTTGAGTAACCGATTAGTCTTCGATTGGTCGGTTTAAGTATTAATCGTTTTTGGGTTAATCTTTCTGTAAGTTAGTTTTACATTTAGGTTGTATTTTACATTTGGGTTATTCGTTTCTTGAATTTGCTCGATTTGTCTTTCTATCTATCTATCGACTCCGCTAGTTTCGATTGTCGGTGATTTATTACTTCCATGGGTTTGCCTTAAATTTATGTTTCTTGATATGCGTAAAGATCGAGTCTTTAATGGATAAACGGTAATCCATTTCGGGCTTGGTAGAATTGTTTAGGTCAAGAAATGTGTGATTTGAGTAACCGATTAGTCTTTGATTTCTAGATTTAAATATGAATCGTTTGTGTTAATCTTTCTGTAAGTTAGTTTTACATTTAGGTTGCATTGTTTGCTATTTGCTAGTGATTTTACATTTGGGTTATTCGTTTCTTGAATTTGCTCAATTTTTCTTTCTATCTATCGGCTCTGCGAGTTTCAATTGTCGGTGATTTATAAGTTTCATATGGTTTGCCTTAAAAGCAGTGAGATTCTGTCAACGAACATGAAAATAATTCTATTTTAATCAAAGAAACTTCGACTAGAACAACCTCAAAACAAATTATCGTTTTTCGTCTTTTGTGTTCTCATCCACAGATCTTCGTCTTCGGATTCATAAACTACATTAAAGCCATGGGTGTGTTCGATGATCATGTAGCTATTATGGGAGATTGGATGCCACCTAGCCCTAGTCCAAGATCCCTATTCTCATCAACGAACAACAACGTTGCTTTCGAACGGTCGATAGCTGACCCCTCCGGTGAAATTAAAACGGGGCCCGTTTATGGAAATGCTGACCACAATTTTCCGGTCAACTCAAACGCACTTACGGAACAAAAAACGAGCTTTCGTGGAGGTCTTATGGAGAGAATGGCTGCAAGAGCTGGTTTCAATGCACCGAGATTGAATACCGAAAGCTCTCCTTGTTTGACCATTCCACCTGGTCTTAGCCCTACGTCTCTGCTCGATTCTCCCGTTTTTCTCTCCAATTCTCTGGTGAGCAATTTTTAATGAAAAAGTGTTGATTTTATGGGATATTATTTTATAAACCGAATAAGGGATTTTCTTTTTGGGAGTGAATTGATAAAAAAATTGTAGCTTATGTGATTCTAATTTGACCTCTTGCCCATCATATACAGCCACGGGGGCCGTGGCCCCCCATCATTTTTCAAGAACCTATTATGGTATATAGGGATTTATTTTTCCCGAAAAAAATTTTAGTATTTTCCGTTCCCCCATCGAGAAACTTCTTAGTGAAATATTGCATTTTAAAATGTTGGTAGATTTTTAAATAGTTGGTTGGTCAATTATTTTTTTACAGGCTCAACCATCTCCGACAACTGGAAAATTCGCATTTGCTCCTCCAAGCGGAAATTATTGGGGGCCCACATTGTTGAACGGTGAAGTTTCGAGTAAGGCGAACAAGACCAACAATTTCGAAGACAATCAATCGTTTGCATTCAAACCTATTCAAGAATCCGGATCGTTCCCTTGTTTCAATTACATGGACAAAGTAATTAACTCGTGTGTAGAATCACTTTGTTGCATGTGTTCGATATGTGCTTGTTTTGCTTCCGCACTCGTTTTTTTTTACCCTTTAGAATTATTTCAACACGTGTGGAATCATAGTGTGGATTTTTTTTACATCTCGATTTTTACTCTCGATTTGACAGGTTACTTTCGGAGTTGCTACAAATAATTTTCCAGCAGAAATGCATCAAAGTGTAGAAGAATCTCGAAAGATTCAAACTTTATCGAACTCACATTCGAAGAGTAACAATAACAGTGAAGGCGGCGGCGGCAATCTTTCACCGGAGCAGACTTATCAGTCCGTTGGTGGTGGCGCCGCCAATCTTTCACCGGAGCAGACTTATCAGTCCGTTGGTGGTGGTGGCACCAACAATTCTCCACCTCTCGACGAACCGCTGCCGCACCAAGAAGATGGAGATCAAAGAATCGGTGGCGGAGATGCCGTTGCTGGTGGAACCCTAGCGGACGACGGTTACAACTGGCGGAAATACGGGCAGAAGCAAGTGAAAGGAAGCGAGTACCCTCGAAGCTATTACAAGTGCACACATGCAAATTGTCCGGTCAAGAAAAAGGTGGAGAGGTCACACGAGGGTCATATTACGGAGATAATCTACAAGGGGGCCCACAAGCACCCGAAACCCCCACCGAATCGGAGATCTTCGCTTGGACCGCCGTCAAATGTGTGAATCGGAACAACTTGGTACTTGTGCTAATAATAACGGTGATCTTGTTTGGCCGAACGGGCAATTGGTCCAAGAATACGGAAGTGGGCCCACCCAATATGAGGGGGCGGATGGTGGTGTTGACCGGTCTTTGACTTTGTCGAACGAGGAGGAGGAGGATGACCGTGTTACGCATGGGAGCGTGTCTTTGGGTTGTGATGGTGAAGGAGAGGAATTGGAATCAAAGAGAAGGTTCTTTTAACTACTATTTCTCTCTCTTTTTTTTTTTTTTTTTTTTTTTTAATTTTATTTTATTTAATAATGTGTGTTTTTGTGTTTGTAGGAGAATCGAAAATTATGCTTCGGAGGTGAGTGGGGCTAGTAGAGCCATAAGGGAGCCGAGAGTCGTGGTCCAAACTACGAGTGAGGTGGACATTCTTGATGACGGGTATCGTTGGCGCAAGTATGGCCAAAAAGTCGTCAAGGGAAATCCAAATCCGAGGTTTGTTTAAATCTCCGCTGCACCTACTATTCATTACACGAATTTTGGGCCATGGAGATTACATGAATCGGAATTCGGTTGGAAAGTATTATTCCAAAATCGAATTCCACCGACCTCGATCGAAAATTTTCCGATTTTTTTTTTTCATCCAAATTCAAATTCTGATTTTTTGGAAGTTTTTTGGATCGAAATTAAAATATATATATGAAATTTCGATTTTCGATCCAATTCTGATTTCCGGAAATAATTTCAAAAATTCCAACTTTTTCCCTTGAACGTGATCTTTACAAATACAATATCATTATTATGTATGTATTTTTATATTATAGGTGAATATAAAATTGGAATATCCGAATCCCGCCGATTCCGATCCGATAATTTCCGATTTTTGGAACTAGTTTTTCAACCCAACTTCCAAAATTCCAATTTCCGATTTTTCTGATATTTTCAAGAACGGAACCAAGATTAGTTTTTCACCTGCAAAAAAAAATCATTTTTTTCCGAAAGTGCTAATTCCAATCTGATCCATACTTATGAGCCACCTCCACAATACCTCCAGCTCATTTCCGATTGTTCTCTCTTTCCCTTCAATCTTTTCACTATAAACTTAATTAATATATAATAATAATAATAATAATAATAATAAAATTGGCCTCAACTTTTTCGACTCTCCTAAATAATGCAGGAGTTACTACAAATGCACGAGCACGGGTTGCAATGTCCGAAAACACGTGGAAAGAGCTTCACACGACCTCAAATCGGTTATAACCACTTACGAGGGCAAGCACAACCACGACGTACCTATGGCCCGCAACAGCAGCCACGTTAATTCGGGCGGGGCTCCGACCCACCCACTTCCGAACACCCATCAACAACCCCAATCTGGATCCTCCGTTTCGAATCACATGCAAAGGCCCGATATGAACATGACCCGGTTCGAAAGGCCTCCTTCGATGGGCTCGTTCAATTTCCCACACGTGGGGCCTGGCCCGGGATTTGGGTTTGGATCCGGTTTCGTAAATCATCAATATTTAGGGCATCAACTTCGACCGATGAATAGCATGGGTTTTATGCTGCCGAAAATGGAGCCGGAATGGAATCTTCTTCTGGCTTCAACTCGGCTGATGGATCGTCGGCTTATCAGCAGCTTATGAACCGTTTACCTCTTGGACCATAAATGTAAATTATTGAATTTTCTTTGCTTTTTATTTATTTTATTTTTTGGTTGCTAAGAAATAGA